GATGAAGGCAATAGATTTCCTTGCTACCTATTATGATGAAGAAAATTTTCCCCAGACCAGCAAGAGTCTGCTGAGTGCATATCAGGACTTGGGAACACTGCTTCAAAGAGTCTTATAGCAGGATTAGATTTCCAGAGAAGCGTGTATTGTTGATAAAGAATGAATTCTGTCAAGCGTAAAAATTTAGTGGCCTTCCTATTTTATGTGAATACAGGACAATTCCAACCTGAAAGAATTTTCTCTCAATTATCCAAAAAGGACAACAAGGAAAGAAATTCCTCGCCTCCTCATGTTTTTTCATTCCATGTAAATAGAATAATTCAAATCTAAAATGATTTACGCTTGTATCCAAAAAGGATATCAAGACCTACTTATTGCTCTCTCCCACTGCTGCCAGGATGAGCAAAATTAATTCTCAAAATTAATTTGTGCTCGACATATTTCTGTCAAGGAATGCGTAGCATTTTTCATAATGCAGGACAAGGTATGTGAAAAGAAGTAGCTCTATATACAGCATGAGCCTTGCACAGGGGACCTCACAAGTTCTGGAATTACTGTAATTATGCTCCCATGATGTAAAAGTTGTGATCATTCTGAAAAAACCTGCTAGACCACAAACCCTGGATGTGAAAATGCATATATTTTTTAGAGCCAAGCTTTATTAAACAATGTTTCACTGTCACAAGGCATGAAAATACATCCCAAAGGGAATCTACATAGATGAATTATCAAGGAGAAAAATTAATTTATTCAGTTTTCCAAATATTTTATCATCTTCTGATCTAATTTTAACTCAATGTTGAAAACTCTCTGATGCAAGAACAGGAAGAAGGATTTGTGGAATTATGTTAAATTATTCTTTAAAACTGTAAAGCTGCCTTTTTATTCTTGCCATGTTCATCCAAGGAAAAATTACACAGCAAAAACTCAAGAGTGCAATACCAATCTCTCTGCAAATTCAGATGAATTGAATGGGAAAAAGTGCATGCTACAAATTTTAAAGGAGTCATCTGCAATCCTCACTGATTGACATATATCAATAGGATAACACTGCTTCATTGATTCTCAACTCAATTTTCGCAATAAAACTGTTTGTTCAACGAATTTTGCATGCATTTGAAAGATTTCTGCTGGTCTGCAAACATTTTGTGTAAATTTGCTACTGGCCCTAAAAACTTCATAGATCTTAGCTGGGTCTACAAAATTACCTGACAATTTCATTCTGTGGATCCAAAAAGGTCAGGGGAGATTGCTTTAGACTGGAGGAAGTGACTCGCACAACAATCTTTGTATTAGAGGAGACATTTTTTGAACTTGAACTGAAGAACCTCCTCAAATGTGAAGATACATTTCTGACACCCACACACTTTTATATCTTAAATTTTAGGTCTTACTTGGTCAAAAATGCTACAGTGCATTCTTTCCTTCAAATGTACAAAATTCTCATGATACGAATATTTTTTTTCCTCCTTTCTCATTTAAAATATTCACTTTTTCTTGAGAATGTTAGAATTAACGCGAAAAAATCTTTTGCTGTTCACTTCCTGAGGGAGAATAATTTAGTAACATCTTCAATTAAAAGCTAATTTTAGCAGGTCACCATTTTGTCAATTGATTTTTCAAAAGGAAGTCTTTCTTGGCCAAGTACCCATGCATATTAGCGAAGATAAATGTTGATTCTTTAATTACTTAGAAGCTTTCTGAGAAATCCTTTGATGATAAGCTGCAGTACATTTTCATACTGAATTCATCAACAGAGGATGCACAGCATGCTCTCAAATCAATGCTGCTAATAAACGCCCACATTCAAATATCATTCGAAATACGCAAAATGTCGTGGCAACTTCCTCCAAGTAAAAACAGGCATAAAATTTAATCTCGTTAGCTCAACCGTCGAAGATCCGTCCAACCCCATTTCACAAACCCCGAGTCCCCACTTCAATAGCACTTTCATCCCCTCCTGAACGCTGGGATTTGCAGACAGCACAGTAAACTCAACGATTATTACACAGTTCCCCGAAATCAGACTCGAGTATTCGTAGTGCATCTTTCCTTCCTTCCTTCCTCATTCCACACAATAAAGTATAACGAGAAACGCAAAACAACCGTTACGAAACAAGTTTCACGCGGTCTTTCAACACTTTGAACAAACCGGAATTCTGAATCTTCTTGTCAAATCGGGATAGAGCCCATTCCAAAGTGCTTCTTCACGGGCAACTCGCCTCCAGCACTCGTCAATGCTTCAGTAATCACAGATTCCCATTTGAACTTGCGAGGTTTAACAGGAGTTTCAACCTCGAGTTCCTCCTCTTCACCATCTGAAAAAAAAAAAAAAAATCCCACGGTTTCTTCAATAAGAGGCCAAATGATAATATTCTAAAAGGTACGAATCGCTTTTGTAGTATCTGTACACAGCATATGTTTCTATGTGTGAACCTTTTCAAATCACACAGAGCCTTTTTCGATTATAAATTAAGCATTAGGTTCGCACTTCGAACTGCATCAAGTTTAGTTACTTTTTTAATAATTAGGCTTGGTACGCCATGCTTTCAGTTTTTTTGTAGTCAAACGTTTGTTTATACTGCATTAGTATGAAGCATGTTGGAACAGGCATCATTTACGCGTTAGGTTAGATTGATTATACAGCCAAACTTCGATAATTAGAACCTTCCCAAGTCAAATTCTTTTCAAGCCCCTGTCTGAATTCTCTTAGGAACAATGTGGTACAAACATGAATGCTTCCCTCAAACCTTCGTACCCCAGATTTTCTGGACATTATATTTCTTTCAAAATAAAATAGATAACAAAATTAATCCTTGCTTTCTTTGTGACCCAGGAATCCAGGATAGAGAGATGGCAATAAAGGCATAACTTGATACAGTACGTCTTTTGCACACTTCCACGTTTGGCATCCTCTCGACTTCTTTGCAGAACAGTTCCGGACAGAAGAATCACTAATTTAAACTTCCTTCAATTCTTCTCTAACTGTACTTACCTTAACTCAAAAACTGTCCAAGTCGATTTTTTATGGTCCCTTGGAAATCGACTTGAAAAGGTTGAATTTGTTTTAGTAAAGTTTTTTTTATCAATGAAGATCGATGCTGTAAGAGTCAAGCAATTGTCAAGTGAGATTCGTTGGGTTTAAGGTGGAGGTATTTGGTACCGAATAGCTTAACCTTAAACGGCTTGGGTGTGGGATTTCATCTTTGTACAAGGCTATAGGAGGGTTGTCTCACTTTGGCGCGAACTTGGTTATTTCCGGAGTAAGCCCGGGAAGTGATGAGGTTCTGGGACTTTTTTTGGGATTTTTAAAAACAGTTTTCAATTTACTGCACGATGATAAATGAAAACTTTCCAATTCTGACCGCAGTTCTCCACCCATGTCACTGGGTGCTAAACTTTGACGGACCAGATGAAAAATTATATTTCTTCGTTGGTTAAAATACCTAAAATGTAAAAAAGATAATGGTTACAACAACAACCAAATGTAAATTTTTTGGCCGACCTGAAACTTTTTTAGCTCCCTATGACATGGGTGGAGAACTCTGGTCGTAACTGGAAATTTGTCACTTATCATGCAGTCCAGTGGCAATTGTTTTCGAATATCCGAAAAAAAAACCGAAACCAAGGTCGCGCCCAAGTGGGACTACCCTAGTATTTGAAGGATGTTGGAAACAAGATAAAATGAATGCGTATCAACAGTATGAGCTTACTCTCTCGTTCAACATCCTCAATTTCTTGCGATTCGCGAAGCTCTTTCTGTTTCTTCTTTTTGGATTTTTTCTGTGGTTCGGATTCCCCACTGTCAGCACCGTCTTGAGATCCCGTCAAATCGTCCTCATCATCGCCATTTTCTTCGAACGATTGCTGTCGCTTACGCTTCTTCGATGGCTTCGTGTCAGCATCCTCGATTTGTTTCCGCTTATCCTTTTTCTCAACCTTGTCATGTTCTTTCCGTCTGAGTTCCTTCTTTTCACGCTTCGACAGATTCTCCTTGTCATTCGAGCTCTCTGCAGGCACAGTGACGGCTTCCGGTTGTGGCTTCCCTACACCCTCTGGTTTGGAACTTGAGAAAATGTCCCAGGCTTGTGAAATTAACTGGGGGTCTTTGCAGAAGATCGAGTTCTTCACGAAATTTTCGAACTTGGCCTTCTTTCGGGGTACGTTGGGATATTGGGAGACGGATTCGAGCAAAGTTCTCAGTCTCGGGTTCATGTTCGCGGATGCTTCAGACGAGAGAACGGACTGAACGTGTTCCGTCCAAGCTTCTTGCTTCTTCTCGCCCTTATTGGCACTCGGCTTCGCCTGATAGTTCTTTCCTCCGTATTTCTCGTTTTCTGTGATGCATTTTGTGTGTTCCTTGAATTCATCACCCCTAGCGCAAAAATGTTTAAATGACCATCGATGAATATTTACTCATCTCGGAAGGTTGTTCGGAAGCTTGGACAGTGACAAGTTAACAAGAGAAGAGTTTTAATCAGAAGCATGAATTCGCTGAGAAATAAGCCGACAAAAGGGGATTCATACTCTATCCTGAGAAGCACATTATCTCCCTTAATCCCGTTAATCTGATTAAGAAAATGAATATCGGCAAAAGCTAATAAAACAGAGAAGAATCCGTTACTCGCGAATAACTAGACCTTCGAGCTACACAATGAAGAGAGATTTTCAAATTTAACGGATGCATTTATTTCAAGTTTCTCCATATCGTCGCACTTTTCCCGTGATAAACTTCTTGACCCGTTACGTTCGTTCAGTTGTCGCAATACCGGGTTTAACGAAGCCAATACTCACCAGAAATCTTTGTTACAATCCATGCAGGACACCGACTCGCATTTCCTGCACTGAGTCAAATAATGCTTTTCCACTTGGTTCTTTTTCAATGATGAACCACAGGCATTACAAGCGAACACGACCATTATTTCGTCCGCACTGTCGTCTAGAAGAGAGGATAAGTTCAGGAAATGTCAAACGTTCGCAAGGGAAAAAGGTTCGGAAAGTCTTTCAAAGTTTCAACGTAAGAACAACTCCAGAACCTCTTTTTCTGTTCAGAAACCTGCACCGCATTTCACGATAGAATGATATAAATAGCTTCGTTTCTTCTACTTCAAACGTCTACGAATTCGCGATTTTTCATCATTACGCGTAGTGAAACGATTTCGTATATACTGTACTGCCTGAATAATCAAATCTATCGCATCAAAAGCTTTAATTAAGAACAAAAGACGCATAGTTGAATGAGATGGATGCGATTTCGGACACTTCGTACCTGTATAATTAAGGAATGAACTTAATTATTTAATGGTAAAATTCGAAATTCTCGAACCGATATGAAGGGTTTCTTCGGTTGGACGAGCTCTCTCAAATCGAACTGGCTCAGATAATTTACTTTAAGGTTGGGTCATTTCGATTCAATCAGGTTCCGCAACGTCAGCTGATGATTCGGGCGACATTTACGAACAATTCAAGCAAGAGTTAAGAGAACCTTTACGCCGCTTCAAGAATGATATAACTTCGTATTCTGGGTAGATGAAAATGTCAGGAGCTTAATCACTTTTGAAATATGAAACTTCATCTCGATATTGGAGAAGCTTGAGCTAATATTAATTAAGATTTGTTCCATCCCCCCCCCCCCTCCTACGCTTTTCACACTTGCCATTTTACCGCTGAAAATTTGTACGGAATTTGTTCATTGTAAATCTCAAAGATGAATATCTGCCATCACATTCTGTTTCCCCACCTCCAACAACAATGCATTAAATTCGCATCAAACAATCTTCAAAAGCACCTTTGGTAACCCCATACCCTCGTAAAAGCATGAGCTCGTTCGCGACGGAGGTACAAAACAAAATCATCACAATGATCAGCACTTCATAAAGTCAGAGGCTTCAAATGCTGTTTTTCAATCGTAGTTCCCCTTCGGGAAAAGTGAACAACTGATCTACGATCATCCTGACACTTCAAAGTTGTCTTTTTGAACTTTGACGCAGGTCGGAGGACACCACGACAAAATCTGAGCGATGGACTCTTCCATACGCTCTTCATCGCCGTCATTCTCGATTATTAAATCCCATGATTGCACGGAATCCAGTCCACATTCCGTTTCCGCATCATCAATGCCCGCTGCAAATGTCCACCTGCAACAATTTCCGGTCGTGAAGCTACAGACGAGCACGCATCATAACAGAAACGGCGATCATTTAACAAAAATCAGAACCAAAACTTCCTCTCTTTCGCACTTCATCTTTCGTAATTCTTCATTAATATTTAAAGGGAGCCTCGAAGGGGAAATGTCACCGAAAAAGTGATGAACAAACTAGCCAGAACATTCGACACGAGCCCTTTCGTGCACTTGTTCGTTCACGACTATTCATTACAGATGTGCTCACACTTCGATTCAGATATCAAATGAAATCCTTTCAGAGCAGGACACTAACCCTCTAGAAGTTCTGGTCGATTCTGTGGCTCTTACCAGAACCGTCTTGACAAGAGCGCCTTTCCCGAGACGCTCTCGAAACCAATTCAAATCCGACATTCGTCGCATGTCCACGATTACCCAGAGTCTTTTTTGCTCATCGGGATCCGCTTCTGCGATTGCTGGACGAATGAAACACCCGTCGTCCACTTTCCGCAAGGCTTCAGACCAAGACAACATGGCAG